GGGAAGCACTGCTGGCAGGGGCGGGGAGAGGTGCAGTGGCGCTGGCCAGGGGAGATCAGGAAAAGGAACAGGCCGGAGGGAAGCAGAGCTGGGGAGGGTACAGGGGGGGCTGGCCGGGGAAGATCAGGAGGGAAAGTGGGGGAGAACCGATCCGGCCAGGAAGGGGGTGGTGACCAAATTGGGAGCATTTGCTGCCTGTCCCGCGTAGGCTCCCAGCGACGCATGAGCGAGGAGGAGGCTTCCCCTCCTCCTCACACTCAACTGACTGAGAGCTCCCAGTGGCAATCGTGGCCCCGCCTCCCAACTGGGACTCCCAGCTGCTCCCACTGCCCACACCAGGCTTCCATCAGGTGGGCAGCCAGAAAAATCAGAAAGTACCGGACACTGCACATGTCCGGTATTTTCTAATTTTTTTTACCGGACAGAGCGCGCAAATACCAGACTGTCCGGTACAATACCGGACACCTGGCAACCCTACTGGTAACTGAGTAACCGGTAAGCATCACCCGTTAAGGTCACATCACATCCCTTCTCTGCAGTAGCATTTGAAACGCCATTTGTATCCTCTGCTCTCTCCCAGCAGGGACTTAATCCAGGAAATTCAAGTAGCTGTGCCCTGTACCCTATATCTTTCCATCCATGGCCTACCTTGTCCCCCAAACCTTCCTGGCCAGAGGCACAGACAGTTACTGTGGAATCCTACAACAGTAAACAAGTCTTTATATGCAGAGAGCCTCTCCACAGCTGCACCTTTGTACAATGCAATTCAAGTTTCTTGGAGACTCTTCTTCCAACTACAAGATTTGACCTATAGTGCTTGGTAAATAAGATGCAAGGCCTGATAATTTCATTGTTCTTCAATCTGCTAGAACTGAAATTTCAAAACTAGTTATTATATCCTATGCCTTGCACTTAAACTCTTGTGTAATGTAATAATGTTTAGTTTTTAGATACGCAATTAGTGGCATTTACTTAGGTAGTTTGTGTTGTTTTTCTTTATTGTGAATTGATAAGATTTCATGATGAACACGACAGTCTCTTTGTTTCTATAAATGGTTTTAGCACTTTGCTGAAAACAGGGAAAATGCCAGCTTAGAGAGACTGCAGTAATAACTTAGGTGGCTGCATATCACCCCATGAGTCTTTTCATGAGAAGCAGATAAAAGGAAGAAAAAATATCTTAAAAGTACTTTTCTCTGATATTGATCCTAAATATTTAATAACAGTAACTACAATAATGGATTTGAATGGTCAGATATTTCTGTCCCCTTAGAACTGTACATTGTGGACCATAAGAGTTCCACAGCCTAAGTTCCTAATAATCCATAACAGTTATAGCCAGGGCTCGCCAAGTGGCTGCGAGCCCCGCTTGCCAGTGACATGGCTGATCGCACTGCACAGCCCCACCGAGCTAAAATCTACTCGCCACGGGCGAGAATTGCTGGAGAATTGCTAATATAGTTCCTATTTTTAAGAAAGGGAAAAAAAGCGACCCGGATAACTATAGGCCTGTTAGTCTGACATCTGTAGTATGCAAGAACTTGGAAAAAATTTTGAAGGAGAAAGTAGTTAGAGACATTGAGGCTAATGGCTATTGAGACAAATTACAACATGGTTTTACAAAAGGTAGATCGTGCCAAACCAACCTGATCTCCTTCTTTGAGAAAGTAACAGATTTTTTTAGATAAAGGAAATGCAGTGGATCTAATCTACCTCGACTTTAGTAAGGCATTTGATACAGTACCACATGGGGAATTATTGGTTAAATTGGAAAAGATAGGGATTAATATGAAAGTTGAGAGGTGGATAAACAACTGGTTAAAGGGGAGACTACAGCGGGTCATATTGAAAGGTGAACTGTCAGGTTGGAGGAAGGTTACTAGCAGAGTTCCTCAGGGATCAGTTTTGGGGCCAATTTTATTTAATCTTTTTATCGCTGACCTTGGCACCAAAAGTGGAAGTGTCCTGATAAAATTTGTGGATGACACAAAGTTGAGAGCTATTGCCAATTCAGAAAAGGCTCGGGATATCATACAGGAAGATCTGGATAACCTTGTAAATTGGAGTGATAGCAATAGGATGAAATTTAATAGTGAGAAGTGTAAGGTTATGCATTTAGGGATTAATAACAAGAATTTTAGTTATAAGCTGGGGACACATCAGTTGGAAGTAAGGAAGGAGGAGAAAGACCTCCTGGTTGATTATAGGATGACTATGAGCCGCCATTGTGACATGGCCGTGAAAAAGGCTAATACGGTCTTAGGATGTCTTAGGCGAGGTATTTCCAGTACGGATAAGGAGGTGTTAGTGCCATTATACAAGGCATTGGTAAGACCCCATTTGGAATACTATGTGCAGTTCTGGTCTCCCATGTTTAAGAAGGATGAATTCAAACTGGAACAGATTCAAAGAAGGGCCACTAGGATGATCCGAGGAATGGAAAACCTGTCTTATGAAAGGAGACTCAAGGAGGTTTTTCGTCTTCCTCTGTAGCATGGGGTACAGATCACAGCTGGAGGATTCTCTGCATCTTGGAGTCTTCAAAGTATTTGAAGGCTTCAATATCTGAGATATAGGTGAGAGGATTATTCTAGGAGGGGGTGGGTGAGATTCTGTGGCCTGCACTGTGCAGGGGGTCAGACTAGATGATCATAATGATCCCTTCTGACCTTAAAGTCTATGAGTCTATGAGTCTAATTTGTTGAGCCCTGGTTATAGTCACCAATTCCATGGGTGCTCTAGGACTGAAACACCTATAGGAAAAATATGGTGGGTGTTGAGCATCCACTAGCGGGCAGCCGTTCCGATCCCCAACTCAGTGTCTCCCACCCACTAGAGGTCCCTCTAATCACCACCTCCTCCTCTCTCCTAGCACTTCTGGTTCACCACAATCAGCTGTTCCATGGCATACAGGGAGAAGGGTGGGGAGGGGGGAATTGAGGGCTGGACATGCTTGGGGAAGGGGGCAGAACAGGGCAGGAAGAGGAAAGGCAGATTGGGAGTGGACCCTGGGGTAGAGCCTGGGAGGTGAGCCCCCACCCAGCACATGAGAAAGTTAGCACCACTGATAGAATTTACATATGGGTTATGTATGGTGAGAAGGGTATAAACAATCTATAAATGAATGCTTTGCTTTGCAATTTCAGAGTTCTTTACCAGCATTCATTAATCCTCAACAACTTTCCTCTACTTGCCCAGCCCAAAACATCCCATATAAAAGAAATATAAGGAATTGATGCAACTAAGTCGTCAACTTTCTAATAGCACATAACCAAGCACCCTTGCCCTGCTCCCTGTCCCTGTCCTCCTCTTGAGGCCCAACCCTCTATCCTCCATCACCCCATCCCTCTATAGCAGTGGTCACCAACCAATAGATCGGGGTCTACTGGTATATCTTAGAGCCTCTGACAAGTGATCCTGACTGGTTTGGCCAAGACGTTATCAAGCACAGCACTTCAGCTGCCCCCTGCAGATTGCTGAGCATTTCCTGCCCTTTGCCTTGGAGCTGTTCCTTCAGGAGCCACAGAGCAGAGAGTTTGCTGTCTGCTTTTGAGAGTGGTGCAGGGCCAGGACAGGGGTGAGCCTGCCTTAGCCCCTTGTACCACCACCCAGGAACCACCTGAGGTAAGCAGTGCCCAGCTGGTACTCACATCCTGAAACCTTACCCCAGTCATGAACCCCTTTCTGCACCCCAAGACCTTGCCCTAGCCCTGAGTACCCCTGCATCCAAGCCCCCTCCAGCCCCCCTACTGCCTGCCCCAGGTTCCCCTCCAAATGCCTTAATCTAAGACCAGAGCCTGCACCCCAACCCTCTGCCCCAGACTGGTGAAAGTGAGAGAGGGTGGGAGAAGGAAGAAGGATGGAGTGAGCAAGGGTGGGGCCTCAGAGAAGGGGCACGAAGGAGGCAGGGCAAGGATATTTGGGTTTCAAGTAAATTGTGGATTGCACTTAAATTAAAAAAGTGAACTCACACTTAAAAAGGTTGGAGACCCCTGCTCTATTTGGTGTGGGACAATGGTGCTCAGTTCTGTGCTGGTATAACGTTGGCACCAAGGGTGTGTCTAGACTACAGGGTTTTATCGACAAAACTGCTACTGGGTTCTGTCGACATAACATCAACAGAACTCAGCAGTTTTGTCGATGGCTGTAAGCCTCATTCTAGAGGAATAACACCTTTTGTCAACAGAGCTCGGTCCACAGAAGGCGTTACTGCGTCTCCACTGTCCTCTGTCTGCACTCTCATGTCAACAGAGCGGCTTGCTGTGTCAGCAGAACTGGATGTTGTCTAGATGCACTTTGTCCACAGAAGCTTTGTCAACAAGACTATGTCTACACTCGTGGCTTCTTGCGCAAGTAATATGCAAATGAGGCTAAGCTTGGAACATCCCCGAGCCTCATTTGCATACCTAATGAGCCACCATTTTTTTTCAGAAGCTCGTGTGCAAGGCCATTCCACCTATTACTTTTCTGGCCTTGCACACGAGCTTCTGAAAAAAAATGGTGGCTCATTAGGTATGCAAATGAGGCTCGGCGATATTCCACGCTTAGCCTCATTTGCATATTCCTTGTGCAAAAAGCCACTGTAGACATAGCCAAGTGTGCCAGGGCCCCCTTCCAGGCCCGAAGCCAGCCCCAGCCCGTAGCGTAGGGCTCCTGGGTGAGCGGGAGGACGGGGCAGCAGCATCCCTTAGCATCCGGTCCCGGCTGCCCCGCTCTCCCCCACCAGTCTGGCCCCGCCTGTCTGGACGCAGCGTGATGGCGTCATGCGGGAGTTGGGGCTGCCCAATGGCGGCGGCGGAGGCGTCGCCTCAGCAACTCTGCTGCGGGAGGTGAGCGCAGGGCAGCCCGCCCCTGTGCTGCCGAGAGCCGGCCTGACGCGGGGGAGGGTCTGTCAGGCCGCGGGAGCCGCGCGTCGCGGGCCGTGTCGTCAGCGAGCCCCGGCTGGCGGGTCTGTGACCCCGGCGCTGCCCGCGGGTTTGTTGCGTTGACTGGGCGTGTGTGGAGCAGGGCGGCCAGCGGCCGAGAGCGGGGCCGTTACACCCTCCCCCCTCCCCTCTCGTCGTCACCGAGACGCAACAGGGCAGAGGGAGACAAGGCACGAACGCTTCTGTCTGCCCTTTTTCAGCCTGTCTTCAGGACTTACCGTTGCCTGCAGCGCTGGGACCCTGGGGTGGGAGTTCCCACAGTGCTGCAGGTCCATCGAAGTGGTGATGCGCAGCTTCTAGTTGTCCTTTCCTTACAGGTTTTCCCTTTGCTAGGGAGTGTGACAGCCCCTGCCAAAATAAACATGAAAAATTCCTACTTTCATTTCATATTTGGGAAAATATGGTGTTTTTCTGCTAACGTAGAACTAAATATTTAATTAACAGTTCTGGTTATTTTTATTTGTCTAGGAAGTTCGCCAGTGGTGGTAGCAATTCAGATTAAAATATACTTTTGTGTTTATTAATTAGCCATGGTTCATGTGGTGCTGTAATGTTGTTGGATTTGGGGGGGTTAGTTAACTATTTCATTTCAGATTGTCAGCAAATAAGTTTTGTTTACAAATTTTACAGCATGTGAAATGCTACTCACCACAAATAAGTGGCAAAAGCAGACTGGAAAAATACATTTATTGTGTATTCAACAGGATTACAATGTCATTCACATTCAGGAGAAGACTCAAGTCAGCACAAGGCCTGTGTATTAAAAATACAAGAATAAGAATGAGTTAAGATGAATGTTATACAGATGAAGTGAGGTAAACAGGTGTTTAAGAGATTACACTCTATTTTTTTTGTTCTGTGATGTCAAAACAGCTATTATGTTTCAGAACTTTTCTATACTGTAATACAGACACACTGCTTTCAGGATAGGAAACATGCCTAATTTAAAACAAATTCAGAATTTCTACTTCTCTTGGAGGAAAAGCCTTTACCTTACCAGGAAAGCACATATAAGTGTTTGTGCCCTCATTTTGTGGAGGAGTGCACCAAGCACCTGAGCTTTTGTGAGAAATGTGGGGCTTCTTTTGAAACTTAAATGACTGACCAGTAGTGGATCTTTAGTGGCCTATCCCTGTTGTGATACTTTTCTCTGTGAAGGAGCTACATTATGTCTATAATAGCAATGTTAGATATCGTGTAATAGAATAGTTGTGTAACTGCATGAAAACTTAGCAGTTACACAACTATTCGATAGTTCCCAGGGTTGGGGACAGCAGCCAGTACGCTCATGGCCCCACTCCCAGGGAGCCTTCTGCCAACTCACGCTGCTGCCTCTGTAAGCAAAGGCAGCAATCCCAGGGTGGCAGGCGGTAGAGCCTGTCTGCCAGGGGAGCCAGTTTAAAAACTAGATCCCCATGTAGACCAGCTACCTAGTCCAAGCCGATCTAGATCCTAGGATACAGAGGCAGCAGTGGGGGTAGCAGCAGCTCCTATCCACAGGGGTCTGAGCTCGCCATGGACAGAGGCTGCTCTGTGACAGCAACCTCTCTACGTGGGGAGCTTGGACCCCATCAGCCTCTGTCTGCGGAGAGTTTGAGCTGTGGCAGACGGAAGTGGCACTCTCCCCTGTTGCCTCTGATAGAGGCAGCAGCATGGGGGGGGGTGCAGGTGGCACCCCAAAGCTGGTGCTGGAGGGAACCAGCTTTTAAGCTGATTCCTGTCCTTCTTCCGCCCCCCGAAGGAGGCAGCAAAAGAGGGGCAGGTGGGTCTGTGGAGCAGGCACACACGGGACACCTGCTTGACAGCTGGTTGCTCGTGTATCTGTTCCAGTCTGCCACCCTCACCCTCCACGCTGCTGCCTCTCAGTCAAGCGCAGCAGCACTCTAGGGGTGGAGGGGCAGGCAGATCCAGATCTAATGCAGAGACAGTGTGTGTAGTCAATGAGATTAACCTATAAATCTAGGTTTATTGATTAATTGTGTAGTTGACTACATGTTGACATCCCCAGTCTATGATGCATGCTGGAATGAAAAGTTGATAGTTGGTAACTTCACTATGAGTTTCATTTCCCCTTGTTTTTAATTTGTCCCGATCTCATGTTTCTCATTAGAAATGCATTCAAAAGGGAAAAACAGGATTAGGTATAGCTTCATTTTTCCCCCCTTTAATTGTCACTGCCTTCCACCAGAATGTGTAACTCTTACCTGTGAAGAAAGGGGGAGCTTCTTTAAAGAGTCGGAGTAGTCTGGGGGAAGTTTACTTGCTTGAGAAGATGCATAGAACCCCAGATTTTATTTGAAATAGCTTATACTCGTTGCCAGGACTTGCCAAGCGGCTGCGAGCCCTGCTCGCCAACTGTGCAGTTCTGCGAGCTGCACATGCGCAGATCGCGCGGCACCAGCTGTGCCGGCTTGTAATCTGCTTGCCACGGGCGAGTAGATTACATGATTTGTCGAGCCTTGCTCATTGTTTTATTGGTTACAAAGACCAAGAGCCATATGCTTTTGATCCTTTTCATAATCACTCCAGAACTTGCCACATTTTTCTAGGTTATTTTCTTCTAGGGTCTGCATACTAGCTTTCCTAACACCTCTGATAAAAGACCACGTTTGAGAACAGTTTTAAAAAATCTTCATTTTTATGCTGATTCCAATACAGTTCTTGGTTAGAACAGACTGTCCACATAATGTATTCTAAGAAAGGGGTCAAAGCTTCCATTTTCAAAAAAACAAACAGCTTATGTTTGTGTTTGTCTATCCACAGGATCACAGATAAGGTTCAAAATTATCATGTAAGTTACAGAGTTTTTTTTAAATGTTAAAAAATGTTTCCATAGTGAGGGGCTATTTTCTATTAATTTGTGTTTGCCTCTGTGAAGGAGCATGATTTAGTGCTTGACATTAGTGCTCCCGAGCATGTATGACTAGAAAGAATGTAACTAATATTTTAAAAAGCTCTCTGCCCTCTAATTCTGAAATTGCAGGTTAGAAAATCAGATATGTAGATGCCTATGTTCACTGAAGGACATTGACTGATGTTGCCAAGTCTTGGGGTTTACTTTACTCTTTTAATGAAACATTTAGACTAGTGATTTTGGGAGATGAACATGAAATGCATTAAAGTTGCCAGATGTATTGCAAGTACTGAGCACCCACCCTGTAAAATCAGGTCTTATAGCTGTCCCAGTCTGACCCCCAAAGCCATTAGTCACATTGAAAAACTTGGGGAGGGGGGGGTGGAGAGAGACAGAGTAAACACTTGTTTGATGTATTTTCAGAATGTGGCACAATAATTTTTTTTTCACAACAAACAAAAAATGGTTTAGTGCAAGATTTCTGTCAATCATCCTGTAAAAAATGTCGGTTTTTACAGGCATTGTACATCCCATTGAAGCCTCAGTTTTGAAGTGGATGGAATGAAATGTTAGACTGAATGGAGAAACAATATAATTCATATTTTTATAAGGAATGATACAGCAGCTTTTTAAAATACCAGGCTATAACCTGTATCCTGCTTTACTTTTTTATATCTTACTGGAGAGTAATATACTAAGCTTCCATGATACTGACTTGCCTAGGATCTTCATCAGAACTGTCTTGTTTGCTCATTAAGAAAACCTGACATTTTAAATAAAGTGTGCTAAAGCATCTCCTGTTACAGCATTTCACAAGGTGCTGTCTTGTTGTAGATGTCCCCAGCATACCATGGTAGATGTAGCAAAGAAAGAGACGATGAATGACATCACATTTAGAAGCAACACTGTACTTTCTGACATTCATCTACATACCCCAAGCAAAAGACATCTCATGGTCCGATTGAATACTGTTGGACAGCCAGGTAATTTATAATTAGCAGATGCTTAGAGTTTCATGATTGGTAAAATAGGGATAATTATAGCAACCTCCTTTGTAAAGTACTTGGTGATCTGCTGATGAAAAATGCAATATAGAAGTTAGGTATTTATTTACTATATTAGATTTACCTACTTACTTGTAACAATTCAATCCTGGTTTCAGTGCTTAAACTAAATTCTTAATTGGCCGTTAAAAATTTGTGTCTAGTCAGAAATGTCAGTGTTAACTGTATTTAGTTATAAAAAATTTTAATAGTTGTCAATGTTTACAGAGTAACATTCACTGTAATCATAGTGCCAGTTTTCCTGGCTACAGAGAGCTCTCTCATAATCTCCTGGTTTTGCTTTTATGTAAACTCAGCGATTTATTAAAAAAAAAAACTTGTATTTTTATATCTTAAACTGAAATAAATTTGAAAATGGAAAATTTCACATTGATTGTGTCTTTAAGCTTCTATAGTTTTCTCTTTAACATCCTTTGGGTTTTTTGTTTTGTTTTGTTTTGTTTTTGTTTTAGTATTTCTATCACAATTCCAGCTCCTTTTGAAAAAAAATAATTTGGAGTCTGAGAAAAAAAAGGGAAAGGACCTTTCAACAGAAAATATAGGACAACAAATTAAAGGTGGGAAGGAATTGTGTGACAACGGTAGCAATGACTTAGATTTTCTCAGCAAAAATGGAAGAGAAGTCAGTAATTTTAAAGGAATAGAAACTCTGCTGGATGATGATGGGGATTTGGAAGTGATCAGAAGGCCTCGATCTAAGCCTGATCCAGAAATGGAGGCTCTATCAAGGGACAAAGTGTATCCCATAATTCTGACTAAAGGAGAAGATATTTTTGAAGATGCAAAGCAAGAAAGTACCTGCAATAATATTATTAAAATAGGTAAGCAAAGCTATACGCTGATATAAATTGTAAGAACAGATTTCAATCACTTCTTACAAAAGAAAACATGGATAAGAGTGCTATTGCAGCACAATAATTTGTATGCTAATCTGTCTTGCTTAACATATGCTCTTTCACCAAATCTTGTGAATCTACATGTCCTTTGAGTACGTAAGCACATTTCAGAAATTTGTTCAATGCTAATTGATTCAGCAGATTGGTTCAAAATGTTCAAAGAAGAGTGCTTATTCTTATAAGAATGGCCAGACTAGGTCAGACCAAAGGTCCATGTAGCCCAGTATTCTGTCTTCTGACAGTGGCCAATCCCAGGTGCCTAAAAAGGCAAAGAACAGAACATGTAATCAACAGGGCATGTCTACACAGAAGGACAAAAGTCGAATTAAGATATGTAACTTCAGCTACATCAATTGCATAGCTTAAGTAGAAATAGCTTAATTCGGCTTTTGGCATGGTCTACGCAATAGGAAGTTGAAGGAAGAACACTCTTCCTTTGACTTCCATTACTCTTCATGAAATAAAGGTTACCATGAGTCAGAGTAAGAAGTCCTCCAGCTCAACAGTGTTTTGAAATAAAGATTTGTAATGTAGATGTGTACTATGTAATTTTGGAATAACATCAGTTATTCCAAATTAACACTGCTGTGTAGATAGCCCAAGTAATCCCTTCCCTGTCACCAATTCCCAGCTTCTGACAGAGGCTTGAGACACCATTCCTACCTATCCTGGCTAATAGCCATTGATGGACCTGTCCTCATGAATTTACCTAGTTTTTTTTTTTTTTAATTCTGTTATTGTCCTGGTTTTCACAATGTTCTCTGGCAAGGAGTTCCACAAGTTGACTGACTGTGTGTTAGAAATATGAAAGTGTAACCTTGTACACAGTTAACCCATGAGCCTGGGCTCATGAGTTAATGTTCATGGTTACATGCAGCCTTTCCTTCTACCCCCACACTACTCCCTCTTTATCAAAGGTGGACGGGCAGGCAGGAGCTGGCATGTGCAGGGAGCCGGCTTTAAGCTGACCTCCCCACAACCAATTATTTAATTAAATGCATTTTAACATCCCTACTGTGCATGTGTGAAGAAAAATTTCCTTTTTGTTTGTTTTAAACTTTCTGCCTCTTAATTTCTTTTGGTGATCCCTAGTTCTTGTGTTATGGGAACAAGTAAATAACTTTTCCTTATGTACTGCTCCATGTTGATCATGATTTTATAGACCTCTATCATATCCCTCCTTTTCTAAGATGAAAAGTCCCAGTTTTATTAATCTCTCCTCATATGGTAGCCATTGCAAACCTCTAATCATTTTTGTTGCCCTTTTCTGAACTTTTTCCTGTGTTGAGATATACTTTTTGAGATGAGGCAACCATGTCTGCATGCAATATTTGAGATATGGGCTAGGAATGATAAATAGTGATTAGTAAGCAATTGAGTAGTTGATGGAATTTCCAATGCCTACTCGATTAGTCCATAAAGAGGTTCGCTGCGGCTCTGCTTTTTAAATGTAGTAAGAGCCGCCAGGCTCTTATTACATTTAAAAGGCAGAGCCGCAGCAGACCGGGACCAGGATGAGCCAGGACAACTGAGTCCCAACTCCCACCCAATCCCAGAGGCTGTACTTCTGCTTTTTAAATGCAGTAAGAGCCGGGAGCTAACCCTGCTACAGCTCTGCCTTTTAAATGTATTAAGAGCTGATAGAGGCAGCACAAGTGTGGGAGGGAGAAGTGACTAGTTGAATCACTACTCGACTACCCGATAAGCATATGCTTATCGGGTAGTCAACTAGTTGCTTACATCCCTATTTCCAAGCAGTCCAGCTATAGTTACCTCTTGGACCAGATCTTGCACTCCATTTAAGACTAAATCAAGAATTGCCTCTCCTTGAGTGTTTCAGAGCCAGCTGCTCCAAGAAGCAGTCATTTAAGGTTTCAAGAAACTTTATCTCTCCTTCCCATCTTGAGGTGACATGTACCCAGTCAATATGAGGATAGTTGAAATTATGGATATAAAAGTCCATTTAATCCGTTAACCAGTTAAACATTATGTTTAACTGATTTGCTGCTCATATGGTCAGAGGGCTTGGCCAGGCTGGAGTGCCCCTTTCCACCCATGGCATGGTGCTATGGGCAGCAGGCCCACCTGGGCTGGAGTGGCCCAGGTTAACCATTGACATCCTTAGTTGAAATCCCCTATTATTTTTTAATTTATTTTTATTGTCTCTCATCTCCTTCAGCATTTCAGTCACTATCATTAATCCTGGTTAAGTGGTCAGTAATATATCCTTACTGCTATATTCATGTTATTAGACCATGGAATGTAGTAAGAGCCGCCAGGTTTTGTACCCTGGAATTACTGTGTCCCAATGATTATCCTCATTCCAACAAATTTCTGTGATGCCTACCATATCAGTATCCTCATTCAATATGAAGCACTCTAGTTTACCCATCTTATTATTTAGCCTTCTAGCATTTGTACATAAGCACTTAAAAATTTATCACTATTTAGCTGTCTGCCATTATCCCATGTGATCAAATGGGACTCATTTGATTGTTTCTCATCTGATCTTACCCATATCTTATCAACTTACATCTAGGGATTTAAATTAACCAGTTAACTGGAACCGGTAAGCCTCGCTTGTTCACTGGTAGGGACTGGAGCAGCTCCCTGACTACTCTGTGCCAAAACAGAGCAGTACTCTGTTTTATCTCTTTTCTGTAAGTTTTATAGAGAAGAAGTGTCTTTCAGCATTCGCTCAGTTATGTCAATTTTGAGGTTTGTACTTGACTTGGTGATTCTGTCTCTCTCTTAGTTTTATGAGAAGCAATCCCATTCCAGGCACATCCTGTTTTCCTGACACAACCAAACCCTTACATTGCTTTAAGTTATAAGAGGAAACTATATGCTGAATTTGGGAGGGAATGTGGGGTCTGGGAGGGAGTTTGGATGAAGGAGGTGGTTGTGACCTGGGACACTGGACTGCAATGTAGGAGAGGGTGCAGGGATTTGGGTAGGGCAGGAGAGAGTTGTGATGTGGGGTAGGGAATTGGGGTGCAGGAGGAGGTACAGGGGTTTGGGTTATGACCTAAGGCAAGGAATTGGGGTGCAGGATCTGGAATGGGAAATGGGTTCAAGAGGGGGACAGAGGGTTTCGGTTGTGGGATAGGGTGGCAGGAGTTGGGGGAGAGGCTGGTGTGCCTGGAGGCAGGCTCTGACCAGAAGACTTACCTGGCTGACTCCCAGCCAGCAGCCCAGCACATTTCTCAAGTAGTCTCCCTGCTTGCCTCCCTCCCCCGCATAGACTGCTGTGGCCAGGTGTATCTGTGATTCAGAGCCTGAGAGGAGAGGGGAGCAGTGGTTTGCACGCTGCCTGTTCTTCAAACAGGCAGCTCCCATTGGTCAGAAACCGACCAATGGGATTGTGTTTGGGGTGGGGGCAGCGCATGAAGCCTCTCCTGCCTCCCCCAGGCTCACAGCTGTAAAAGAGAAATTGCCCAACAGCTGCTTTTCTGAGCAGCAGGCAGCAGTGGTGGAGAAGGGGGGCAGGGAGCCTGCCCTGAGGCTCCCTGCTGTGTCTGGGAGCCTGATCTGGTGGCTTGGCTGCCAAAGGCCATATTTTGCCCAGTCCTGACCCAGCTGAGGAGGAGTTGAGGAGGAGTTCTTGAACAGACACACACTCTAAAATATGTAGATGATGATTTGTTCAGGTGAAGAGCTCTGTGTAAGATGGAAAACTTGTGTTTTTCTCACAAACAGAAGTTGGTCCAATAAAAGGTATTAATTCACTCTCCTTGTCTCTCTAATATCCTGGGACCAACATGGCTACAATGGCAGTGCTTCTTTTACTCTATTTGAAACTCCTTCATAAGGAAGGGAGTTGATTTATACGGAGAATTAGAATTGATCTGATAGTGTCCAGGGATCCAAAATTCCAGGAAAGCTTTTCCTGCTAGACTATACCAGTTAAGTTGTTATTGAACAAAAGCTGTTAACATTTGGCTCTTCAGTGGCATATATGTGATCACAGTTCACTTGTTGGAGGGTAGTTTTCCAACTCTTAAGCCACCATCATAGCTGGCACTACCTTAGCATACTTATGACAGTCTGAGTCAGCAAAAAAACTTTTGTCCCTAGAGTTTGTCCTTTTTGTCATAATTGAGGCAGGTTGATAATTAGAAAAGAAGGTTATGCTATCGCTACCTGTAGTCCACTTGTTATAGCTTAATGGAAGATCTCTAGTAAATGTTCTAAAATAAAAATAGCCACTTATAAATGCTTATCCATTGTTCTGATGCTATAAACAAAACAGCTCCATGAGTATGTTCAGAATCTGCATGTAAAGCATTATACACCCTAGTCTCCTCTTTTTTACATGTGAATCTAAATAAAAAAATTTAAAATTTCCTAATTCAATTTGAACAGTTTTCAGATGAAGTGTTTAAAAAAAGAGTAAACTTAATGTCAAACAAGTAACATAAGTTTCATAACTAAAAAAAATGTTTAAAGTACTTATTTCCTTCTTTTGCTTTCATTCTACCAGAGCACACAATGGCAACACCATTGGAAGACGTTGGTAAACAAGTATGTATCTTCTTCCTAATATGCTGCACTTTGTGAGCGGAGCATCACAGCCATAACTGTCTATGCCTTCTGTTGTCTCCTGAAGGTCTGGCGAGGAGCCTTTCTTCTTGCAGATTACATCTTGTTCAAAAGGGACATGTTCAGATATTGCACAGTATTAGAACTTGGAGGAGGCACTGGAATTACAAGCATTGTCATGGCAATGATTGCTAAGACTGTATACTGCACAGGTACTTTGATGCAATTATTTTTAACTAGCAGAAATCCCTGGCGTCGCCCGGGATACATATAGTAAAAGGTGTAATGAATGAACTGCATCAATGACATTAACATAGCATATTTTATTGGAAATACTTTTCTCTTATATATGACTAAGAAATTAACATAGCAAGTGATGTGCTTACAAAACATATTTACATGTAACTCATTTCTTGCTATCAAAAGGTGTGGTGAATGAACTACGTAAATTATGTTACATAGATATTGGAAGATAGCTGGAAGATAGCTGTTTCTTCTCCCCTACCCCAGCCATGCATTGCACTCGGCTCCAAGCCCTCTACCTCCGCAGCATGCCTGACCAAAGAGTTCCAGTGTATAGATGTGCAATTTGTACAAGTTGTCTGTGTGAAAATGTTTGACAGTCTTAGTTTGGGTCTTTATGAACAAGTGTCTAGATCGTAAAATGCTTATCACTGCTGGCCTTAATATTGGATTTTATTTGCAGTGTCAGCAGATAGCACAATTACTATGTATAGACTCTGGTGACTGACCTATTTTCTCACACCAAGAAGGGGTCAATCACATGGATCAGGGTTTCAACACATTCAGAATATAATATTGCTTTCAATACCATTATTTCCAGATGTTGGTGAAGATCTATTGGCTATGTGTGAGCAAAATGTAATATTAAACAAACATCTTATTGAGCCAGCAGGTAAGAACCAGATGTTTCTCAACTGCAAGTTTGGGCCTTTGTCAGTAGAACTGTTCCTAGAATGTACAGTAGGGGCCATATAAATTGATGTCACTTTACAAATGTTTACAAACAATTGAACTTCTTTAAATTTGTTTCTATATTTCCAAGATATGAAAATTGTCTATGGAGCCCCTTCTGAGCACAGGACAAGACTCTTTTTAGAGTTCAGCTATCTTCCAATCAGATATAGGCAACCATGGTTGTTGCATAGATACTGTGTAATACGGAATCTTTCAGGAGTCACCTGGAATAACTGGGATTCAGGAATATCTTTGGGCCAAAGTCAGCAGTGATGTAAATTGAGTGTTAATGGTGAAATGGTATAATTGTTTCACATTGGTACATACAAAACCAGTGCCAAAGGGATGGGAGGGAGCTAGCTTGTAGGTAAAACAATTAACAGAAGGCCAGAAGCTAAAGCAGGCTCCTTCTTCTGTACTTCTCTCATCATTTCCTCCCCCATGTATAGCTATCAGATTTGTGTCAATTTTATTTACCATTTTTCCACTTACGGCACCATTTCTCTGCTGATTTTTGGCCCTTGATCTCCACTAAGCTGCCATTTGAAGGGTAGATACAACTAATTTGCCCATAAGATGTGGGTTTTTATTTTTTTTTTCTGTGTGCGCACGCAGGAGGTGAAGTTAAGGTAAAAGAGCTGGATTGGCTGAAAGATGGATTCTGTACTGGTAAGTAGTTGTGATGGATTTAATTCCAATTGTTTTCTATGATAATTTTGAATTGTTGAACATACTAAACTGCAATTAATAACTCTTCAGTTACAGCGGGTTCTAGTAAAAGTCACTTTTCAGAAACCATTCTGACTTATTAAAATTAATGATAGTTTCCATGAGCAAGAGTACTGAATTATAAACCAATAAGTGTCACAGTTCAGGTGCTAATTGCACCTCTGCTTCTTCCATGGTATCCTCATGGTCAAGGCTCAACAAACCACTGATTCTACTCGCCCGTGGCGAGTAGATTTCAGCCAGTCGCTCCGTGCGTCCCATTCACCGATGCTGCGCGCATGCGCAGCACCGGTCTGGCGCATGCGCGGTGCGGGACTAGCGAGTAGCTCTCGCCACGGTTTGTCAGGCCCTGCTCATTGGTGCCCCATTAGATGTCAGGCTTCCAGCCATAAATTCTCTATGAGCAGGAACTCTCCTCCCACTCCTTCAGACTGGGGACTCATGGTTGCACACCAGGCAACCCAATCTGATGAGAATGAGTCCTAATAGAAAGAGGAAAGCATAGAACTTCATTGGAGTGGAGGTTGGGTGCTCTTGAAGGGGATGAGAGTTCATGGAAACAAGCTCACCAATACCCAATCCCAAAAAGTCTTCTATGAATTCTCATTTACTCCTTTCTCCATATTGTGGTTGAGGCCTTTACCCTTAACCTCTTGCTCTGGAGGCAGATACCTTATCCACTGTGCTACTGGAGGGAGCCCACCAACCTCCCTGCAGTCTGGGCCCCCTTGTCCTTCCTTTTTTCCAAGGGTGCCAGGTCCACGTTGGTTGGGGGGGGGGCTTGAACCTTCAACCTCTGACTCCGCAGTCAAGTACCTTATCTATTAGTAACACCAATGCCCTAAGTATGATAAGTCTCTAAAATCATGGATGATGTGGAAAAAGTGAATAGGGATGTTTTATTAATCTCTTCACATAATACGATAATTTTAGGTCACCTAACAAAATCAGTAGGCAGCAGGCTTAAACTAAAGAAACAGAAGGACTATATGATACAATGCACAATCAACTTGTGGAACTTATTGTCAGGAGAGGTCATAAAGGCCAAAAATATAACTGGTTTTAGAAAAGAATTACATACATTCATGGAGGCATTGTCCATTAGTGGCCATTAACTGAGATAGGGATATAATGCCATGTTCTGCCAGATGTTATAGACTCATAGAGCTGGAAAAGCCCTCAGAAGGTCATCAAGTCCAGCCCCCTATTCTAGGCAGGACCAATCCCAACTAAATCAACCCAGCAAGGTTGAGATTAGACAATGAGATGGATCGCTCAATAATTGCCCTTTTCTGTTCATTCCCTTTTGAAGCATCCGGCATTGGCCACTGTAAGAAGACAGGATTCTTGGCTAGACCTTTAATCTGATCCATAATGATCATTAGTATGTTCTTTGTAGACCCTGAAGCTCGCTACAGTTGGTCTGAAGCAGAGATTGCTGATTTGCATGACCACACCACAGTGATACTGGCAGCTGATGGTAAGAGAATGTAATGGAAAACAAGGAATTTGATGAAATTGACATTTGGATGTGCAAGTGTCAAGTACTTAACCTTGGATTTGGATAACTTTTTTTTTTAAGTAGACCATCTCGTCAGCTGATGTTAATTGATTTCAATGGAGCTATTATAGTCTTTGCTATCACGGACAAAATCTAGATGAGTTGTTTATTACAAGTAGCAACTTGAATCCTAGAACATCTACTCAGTCTCCCTGCCAACTTGTGTGGTTTTATATTTTCATATTTTCTTACATGTTTTTCTCTGTCCAGTTGCTAAGTGAAAGACTCATGCAAGCAATAGCTAACAGACTTACCTCACTATATAGGTAAAACAGTGAAATATTGGTGATGAAATAAATAGATTGATGGGACATGTTTCTCTTATGTTTGAGTTACAATTGTCCTAGGATGTTACTTCTAACACTATGAGGTGCAAAAGTTTCAAGACATGATTGTATTGATATTCTTTTACTACAGGCAGTCCCCGGGTTACGTACAAGATAGGGACTGTAGGTTTGTTCTTAAGTTGAATCTGTATGTAAGTTGGAACTGGCGTCAGCTGCTGCTGAAACTGATCAGTTTCAACCGCGGCTGAATCTGGATGCCAGTTCTGATTTACATACAGATTCAACTTAAGAAACCCAGGCGTCCCCAAGTCAGCTGCTGCTGAAACTGATCAGCGGCTGATTCCAGGAAGCCTGGGGCAGAGCAACTCTGCCTCGGGCT